GCTATGTACTATGAACATGACTTTTCATATTTTTATTTCTAGATCCAAGCCCAGCACGTCGGGCCCAAGTCCAACTGACTTAGACCTATCCAAGTTAGGACTAGGTCTGGGTCTAACTTAAACCAGACCCAGATCTAATCCGATCCATTCTCATCCCTAGCCATATGTGCTATCAACAAAATTTGTTTTGTTACTTTATTTGAGGGAGCTCATTGCTTCGCAATGTAAAGTCTAAGAATCATGAAGTGAAGATTATTCAAACCAATAATTAACCGAAAAAATCGTACATATTAAATTAGGAATTAGTAGTTATCCACATCACAATCGGTGTAAGTACAATCAAGGCAAGTGGTTGGGGCCCACTTAGAAGTATGCCTCCAAATCCCTTCCACGTACACATGTGTTGCATCCAAAACTAAATGGAAACAAGCAACCTTCTCTCTCTCAAGAAATCTCGACTGTAAATTCCAAATTACATTACATACAAAGATGTAGAGACAAAATCATCTACCGACCAATAGTCTCGAAACACAACTAAAATTTGAACCTCGGCAAATTTATACTATCACCAAACTTAGATTTTCACTGCCGACTTAAAGCCACTAGGAAAAATTAAACCGGAAAGATTAACCAGATATGGGGCCGGAAGGGGTTACTCGATACTTACTGATAAACCGGCCAGTTCAATCAACCTAACTGAACGAATTCTATGAGGTCATAAAAATATTAAAAAAAATATAAAAACAATCTAATAAAATACGAAAAGTTTAAAGCGTGATTAAACAAAACACATCCGAAGTTGAAAATTAATGGAATGAATGGAGTTATACTAAAAAGGTATTTTTGAAATTTTTAAATGATTAAACAAAAACATCCAAATGATTTCTCTCTCTCCTTTTATTTTTTTTTGCCCTTTTGAGTGTCAATGATCTCTTCATTAAGGATCCCACCATGAAAGGCTCCAAGCTTTATGTGCAGAATATATATTATAAAATGAGAGATGGTATATTTTGGTTTGGTTTGGTTTGACGGTCCAAAGCATCGACACAGCCACTAACGATTAGTTGTAGTCACGTGCTACTCATGCATTTCTTTTTTACAAAAATGACCAATGGACTAATCTTAGCCGTAGCCCTAAAGAGAAAGAAACCAAATGAATGAAAATCATAATAGTCTTTTTGTTTTTTGTTTTTTGCTTTTTTGTTTTTTTTCTGGTTTTTGGTGTGATTTTCGTTTGACTATCTTTGTTTCGAAGGTTATTGGTTGTGACTATTATTCTTTTACTATTTTTTTCATTCATCATCATCTTCAGATCTTTTTCACAATTATTTGGAGTCGGCTATACAAATTTTAATCTACCACTTTGCTCTATCAAGAATCATATTTTTAATGAGATTATAATTTCCCATATTCTCTCTCGTCTATCTCTCTCTCGACTTAAAGTTGCTTAGAGAAAGGAGAGGGCAACATTCAAGAGAAATACATACACAGTATTTTGATAAGGAATTCACCCACTACTACAGGAAAAGTAAGGATAAAAAAAAGCTACCAATAGGTTGTAAGTATAACTCCTAGCCAAACAAGGATCTGTCATCCAAAGAGTTTTGTTCATTGATGGAACTTCAAAACTGTACAGACTATTGAGGCTTTGTATACATCTAACTTTCACATCTTAATGAAACTAATATTCACAAAAAAAAATAATAAAGAAAAAATATATATATATAAATAAATAAATAATTTTCACGTCTTAATAAAACCAACATTCAAAAAAAAAATTAAAAAAAAAAATAATAATAATAAATAAATAAAAAAAGATATGGAGAAAGAGCAATTAGTCAAATGGATGTTAGTAATGTGGAAGTGTTTTGCCCTTTCAAGAAAAGCATCTTCATCATTTACCAACAGAAATCCATGAGGGTATAATTGTCATTTGTGACATTCACGCGTATTTTCGGCACCGTTTTTTACTCCAAAAGAAAGTCAATAGCTGCCACGTGGCCGATTAATAAAATAATACCACAAAATCGCCAAATAAATTACTAAAATAATGATTTATTTATTTAATATAAGTTTCAGTCTAATAACAGTGTGAACGCGAGAAGAAGAAGTCGGCGGAGTACGAGTTTTTTCCGCTGCGAGCGGGGCCCGTCGGATCAGATTTCCAACGGCCAGATCTGTACTAACTTTGTCCCAGATCGAACAGTTCAGATTGCTCGGTCAACTCCAGTATTAATCACGTGCGTTCCTGCGACTGACACGTGGCCTGCACACTCCCGCTCTTACGTGGTTCGCAACATGGAAGAAGGCAATATAATATATAATTAATGTGTAACACAAAATGCCTAATGATTTTTATTTTATTCTTTAAAATAGTAGTATTATAAAATGCATAATGATTCATATAGCATAGAAATAATATCGGCAAAGGGGTTGAGATCGCGGTCGTAGCAAGTAGGGAATATCTTGCCTTTTGATGATGGAGTTTATAATGAAATGAATGGTTAAAAAAAGAAATTGTTTTTTTTTTTGTATTCCGTCATTCATTCTCACCACTACCACCACCTTACTAATATTTTCAAAAAACTAACTCCTACTTTACTTGAGAAACCAATCTATTTGAAAAAACAAGTAGGGTCTGTCTTCCTTTTTGTATTCAGCCATCTATTTTCCTCTATTCAGCCTAAAAAATTAGGGCATGAACCACAAATTATGGCTCAAGGGCCTGTTAGGATTAATGCCAAACCAATTTGGCCCAACCTGGCCCTGTTGCTTTTTTTATTTATTTATTTATTTATTTTTGGCCTGGCCCGTCCGGGCCTTGAGAGGGCTACTAATGAATTTCGTATATGCTACACGTATCATGGTATGCTCCACTAATAAGGTAATGATAAATGAGATAAATGGTTATTATACTTGTGGAAGATGTATAAATAATTCCAACTTTTTCCGGACTCGTGGGGTTGTAGGGCTTGACAAGGACGTCGAACTCACCCACACCAAAAAGAGGCTGAGGAGGTTAAATCCCCAAAAGCAACACACCAAAAGAACACTTGGATGAGAAAAGGGAATCACATAAAAAATAATGATAAATATAGTACAAGATAAGGTTGTTTTTTATGGGATAATATTCTTTTCACCAAAGCATGGCAGTGCTCCCTTTCTTCACTGTAAATAAAAATGAATATGAGCACGTTAGTGCCAAAAAGGTGGGGAAATATTTCACCTCAAGCTTTTATCATTAGGAGAAAAGATGAGATGACCAAAATGGTGGAGGGTGCATCCTTCATGTCTCATCCAACCTTTACATAGTTGGTTTATCTTAAAAAATGTGGTTAGCATAAGGCCTAGACTTTAAGGTAGAGAATAAACTCACAACCCAAATATTGACAGTTCCGGCATTGAAACCCTGAGATAATTAAAAAAACTATTATGAGTACGAAATTTGAAGCTCCAAATATAGTGCATATCTAGCATCTTGACAAACACTTGAAAATAGAACGACCTAGACAATGTGTTACGACATACACTATCCAAAAGCTCAAAAATCTGTTTTCCGTTGCATCATTATCCAAGGGTTTTGAGTTGCAGCCGTGCTTTTTATGGTAAGGCTGAGGACTTGTATGAACATTTTCTTTGTTTTATTCCACTCCATTCCGTGGCCGTTCTAACTTCATTTGTGGCCCCTCTTCAATGGAAGAAGCAAAACAATTTGTTTCTAAGCAGAACAGAGAGTCCATTAACTACAGTATAGTTCCATTTAAATACAGCACCGACCACATGCCAAGAATATTTTATTGCATCTAATAAAAAGACACGTGAAGGTTAAGCCACTTGGAATCGGAGGAGCTTTGGATACGTGTGTCGCGTGGCCCCCACTTTAATGAGTGCCGACTCAGCAATAGGCAACCAGTGGGAGGCCAATTCAGTTTCTTGTTGGATAGAGGGTGGTATGGGGCCCACCTCCCTAATCTCTCTGTTGGGCCCACCACCCCCATCCCCAACCCATGCACACACAAGTAGAGACTGCCCACTTGAGCCTATCTGAAGAAGCATTGAACCCCATCAAAATAATAATGCAAGGAAATGACAAAAAGGATTAAATAAGGGGAAAGAAAATAGAGAGAAACAACATATTGCTACTGCTAGCAATGGCCGGGGCCCGATCCACAGGGCCGTAATAAAAGGTAGGGCTTGGGTCATATCTCGACGGGCGAGCAAGGACCAAGACCGATCCGGTCTGGCCCATCTTTGTAATTTTTTTTTTTTTTTTTGTTTTGTTCGTTCTTCTATTAGTTCTTTATTTGTTTCCTACCCTAACCTTATTAGGGTCAGGGCATGCCCGATACGCCCGGACCTTGGCCATAGCGTGATAAGCGAGCTTGGGCCAAAGCCGGCCTAAGGCTGGCAATGAGCCGGCTCGCATGGCCCGATCTTATAGCATCAGGGTTGGCAATAGGCCTTGGCCGTAACCTAAGCCACATAACAACCAAGTTACGGATAAGGCGAGCCCAAATAAGCCCGCCCAAGCTTTTTTTTTTTTCTTTTTTTTCTTTTATTCTTTCTTCGTTTGTTCAGGCCGGACCTGTTAAGGCCAGGACGGGGTTGGGCCAGGCCTAAAGAGAACATGATCCTGGGCCAGCCCATTTCCAACCTTAGATAAGGTAGAGAGAGGGGAAAAAAACAGATTTAGGATTTAGAGAGAGAGAAAGAAAAAGATGGGATGGAAAATGAGGGGTATATAGGCCCATGCCCAGAGTCAGGGTGATGATGGGCTCAGGGGGAATGCATCCACAGGAAGCCCAGGTCCACAGTCATGTGAATGCCATCCCCGCACCCACATTGGGCCCACCACAAAGGAAGCTGCCTCTGCACCCTGCTCCTGCTGCCAAAGTCTTCGCATGAATCTTCCCACCTTCTCAGCTCTACGAGTTGACCCACCTCTCTCTCTCTAACCCATCTTCTTCTATATATACTCCTCTCTCTTCTCCACTCTCTTTATCATCTTCTCCACTCCTCTCTCTGTATGCATATCCCCACCCTCCTCTCTCTCTCTCTCTCTAAATTTCGAATTTGTAAGAAGAAAGGATGAGCAGTAGTTGCATTGACATGGCTGAGAGCTCCGCGAATTCGACCGAGCAACTGGCCGGGATTGTAATTGACAGTGATGATGCCTCCAAAAGCCCCCCACCAGACGATGGGGCCTCTGGGTTACAGCGAATGGGAAGCGGAATGAGCACGGTGGTTGACTGCGAGGCTGGCTTGGGCTGCATCGTTGAGGCGGAGTCCCGCAAGCTGCCTTCGTCACGGTACAAGGGGGTGGTGCCGCAGCCTAATGGGCGGTGGGGGGCTCAGATCTATGAGAAGCACCAGCGTGTGTGGCTTGGCACCTTCAATGAGGAGGCTGAGGCCGCCCGCGCCTATGACACTGCCGCCCTCAAGTTCCGCGGCCGTGATGCTGTCACCAACTTCAAAAGCCCCCGCACCTCAAACCACAGCCATGGCAATATCGGCGATGATGAAGAGGCGGAGGCGCTGTTCTTGGCCACCCACTCCAAGGGTGAGATAGTGGACATGCTGCGGAAGCACACTTACCACGACGAGCTCCGTCAGAGCAAACGCTACTGCCGAGCAATGCCAGTGTCGCGCGCCTCAGCCACCATGCCGGCAGAGGGGAGGGCAGTAGCGGCCGCGAGGGAGCAGCTGTTTGAGAAGGCGGTGACACCGAGCGATGTCGGGAAGCTCAATCGTCTCGTCATCCCAAAGCAACACGCCGAACGCCACTTCCCGCTTGACATTGCATCATCTGCTGCTGGTGGCGCTGGGTGCAAGGGGGTGTTGCTCAGCTTCGAGGACAGCACCGGGAAGGTGTGGAGGTTTCGCTACTCGTACTGGAACAGCAGCCAGAGCTACGTCCTCACAAAGGGATGGAGCCGCTTCGTCAAAGAGAAGGGGCTGAAGGCGGGCGATATGGTGCGGTTCGAGCGCGGGGTGGGGGGCGAGCAGCAGTTGTACATAGATTGGAGGCCAAGACCGGCAGCAGCACCACTTTTGCCACCACAATTTATAGTGTGGCAGCCAGCAGCTGCCGCACCATCCCCCCTCGCCGCTGTGGTGCATCAACCGAACGTGGTGCGGCTGTTCGGCGTGAACCTCATGACCCCGCCGGTGGCGGCACCACCACAACAGGTGGGGTTTTGTCTGATGAAGAGGGGGAGGGAAATGGAGTTCTTCACCTGTGATGCTAAGAAGCAATGCATAGGCACCTTGTAGGCACCTCTTCTGATACCCTCTGGACTTTCCTCCTTGGCACACTCACTCTCTCTAGATTTTACACTCTTTCTCTCTCTATGTTTCCATTTGCTCGATGTGGAGTCGTAGGAACCCACCAGACACGAAGTGCTCGGTGTTTTCCCCCACTTGTAGAGAGAGAAACACCCACTTCTAGAGAGCGAAAGAGAGAAGTGGTGGTGCTGCCAAACCACTTGTAGAGAGAGAATGTATATATGTTTACAGTGATGAAATTTTGTTGTTTGGCGTTAGAGAGAGAAGAAGTCCTACAGGTTTATTTTGATTCACATTTCCCAAAAAGGAACGGATAGGTGCCCCCAAAGCGTGGGGTACCAGACCCATTTTTGAGGCATAGAGGGGGTTCTGTGAAATGATGCACCAAGTGTTCTGTACTTCTTTGTAACCAGTGTTACACCATAATGGATTCTCTTCAAATTTAATTTCTTTGCAAAAAAGTTTGGTCCCTCTGTGTTCAAATTTCTTGAACATTTAAGTATGCTCTCTCTCTCTCTCTCTCTCTCTGTCTTTTAGTCCTTTGGCTTCAAATGTACCCACTGAAAATGTTATCACCTGCAAAAAGTAGTCAGGAAGAATAATTGATCCTTACCATCTTAGGTCTATGGTCATTAAACTTCTTAATAATATAGGTAGGTTGTATTTGGCAAACAATCAACATAAAACTTTGATACATTTTCTTGTGAATCTGGAATTTGTAGAAGAACGTTTTATCATGAATTCTGAATCTATAGAAAAAGAGAAGAACAAGATTCATGTAATCAAATAACCTGAATCTATAAAAAAATGGATGAATAAAATTTATGTAATCGAATAATTGAGATAAGACTTGGACGCTGATGATTTCAACTTCTGTATCCCTCACTGGTTTATGGAGAAGCCATGATTGGGAAGCTTTTAGCCCCATGTTTACTCTTTCCCCAACACAAAGATGAAAAGAGGAAAAGATTAAGTGCTTTTCGTCTGATCTTTTTTTATATTAACCATTTTAAATCAAAAAGGGAATTTTATAACCAATGTTGAGTTTATTAAATTTGTTTATATCCTTATCGGAAGGCCCATGTGATTAATATTTCGAATTATTATTCTCATTCTGAATGGTTGGTGGTGTTCTTGTTCGTTAGTACTAGTAGCATTGTTATTGTTATTACTTATTAGTATTCCACGAGAAGGAAGATGTTTTGATAGGGATGAAGGTCTATCGAATAATTAAAGCTGCACCTCAAAACTTTTCGAAAATTATAGTTCTGATGTTCAAAAACTTTTGAATCCGTCGTCTCCTCGACTTTGATCTTTATAGTTGTGAAGAAAAGTAAGATTCAAATTCTAAAAACAGTGTATATTATAATGCATTATTTAAATTTTCCATTGCGGTTTAAAAATAAATATTCATGGATCCATAAGATTTCGACCATTTTTTTAACTTCAAATTTTATAGCAGGTGTTGGAAATTGATTTTAGAACCGCCAAAACAAGTTTTAAACAAAGATTCGAGATAAGGCTATATTTTGTTTTCATAAAGCCTAGGCAAAAAATGGTGTCCAATACCAAGACAACTTGTGGGTATGGACCACTTGAATTTGGTTATTCAAAAGCAATTAAAAACTATTGAGGAGTATCATGACTGACTTTATATGAGTCAATGTGTCTCACCCAAATTGAGCCTAGCAAACTGTAACAACAAAACTTAATTTGATGGGTTGGGCAAATGGTTTTATGTTTCTTTTTTAATTTTTCAAAGTATTAAATTTATAAATTTTTCCAAGTGTGTGATTACTTTATAATTTTCCTTTTGTTTTCTACATGACCCTACCTCCATTTGTAGGGGCGCCAAGGGGCCAGGCCCAGACCCCTAGGCCCTAGCCCACCGGCTCAAGCGTGGTCCAACCTTGATCAGGTCAAAAAGGCCCTCGTCCAATCCAACCATAGCCTTATCAGGGCTAGGTCGCAAAATAAAAATAGAAAAAAAGCTCAAAAGAGAAAACAAAAAAAAAGAGGGCCGAGTTGGGCCAAACAAGGCCAGCCTTAGCCTAGGCCCAACCCTACCCTCGGGCCATGGTTACCTAGCCCTGGCCCAGCCCTCGGGCCACATTTTGTGGCCCATGCCCTCTACCCGGCCCATTGTAACCCACCCCTATCCATTTGGGAAAGTTGGGGGATTAAATACCTAAGATTTGGAGAGTATGATTTATGCTAATTAACAAGATAAGAGTAATGTGCAAATAAGTCTTTCTGAACTTAAATTTCTGAAAATAGAAAGATAATATTTTTGCTCTAAATTTCTTTTTCTTTCCATTTTTTATTTTAATTTTTGAAAGTCTTTTTTTTTTGAGACAGATATAAAAAGTGAAAGTCAATAGAAACTTCCTTTTTAAGGTCTTTAAAAAATGTTCCTTTTTAAATCGGAATACTTTATAACGAATAATTTGAAAATCTCTTGTAAGATTGTTTCGTTGAAAATTATGAGAAATATGGAGCTTTCACCATTATACAATTTGCATCCATATCCCATGAAACTCTTGCCATGACCCACAAATAGTCTTTTAAATGCATGGTCCATTCACTTTCACTTGGTCCAGGTGATCCCTGACTCTCTCGCTCTCTCTCTAGGTGACCCTCTCTCTCTATCTCTCACTATAAGTGACCCCCTATCTCTATCTCTCTCTAGGTGACTCTCTCTCTATCCCTCTATAGGTAACCACCTCTCTCTATCTCTCTCTCTAGGTGATCGCCTCTCTCTATCTCTCTCTAAGTGACCCCCTCTCTATCTCTCTAGGTGACCCTCTCTCTATAGGTGACTCCCTCTCTATCTCTCTCTTCTAGGTGACCCTCCCTCTATCTCTCTCTCTCTTGGTGACCCTTCTCTCTATAGGTGAGCCCCTCTCTCTATCTCTCTCTCTTGGTGACCCTCTCTCTCTATAGGTGACCCCCCTCTCTATCTCTATTTCCCTATAGGTGACCCCCCTCTCTATCTCTATTTCCCTATAGGTGACCCCCCTCTCTATCTCTATTTCCCTATAGGTGACCCCCCTCTCTCTATCTTTCTCTCTCTAACTGCATAGTCCATTCACTTTCTCTTGGTCCAGGTGACCCCTGACTCGCTCTCTCTCTCTAGTTGTAGTTTATTGGATCGTGGGCAAAACGTGATGATTATCATTGCCTTCCTAAGATCAAGTGATTCCTTCCTTAAAGATAAAGTGGGTAGAGAGAGAGAGAGAGAGAGGGGGAGGGCCTGCCTTCGAGGACACGTTCTTTTGACTCGCACCCACTTGTTACCTTGTTTGTTTTGGAAATTTCTTAAGATGGTGTGGTCCATATGATAGCTGTAAACAAGGACATGACTTTTGGAGGAAGGGAAAGAAGATTCAAACAAACCATTTGGGACTTACAGGATCGAATCAAGAAAATAAAATATCTTTTACAAAAATCACACAAAATAATAAAGAGTTAAAAACATGATCATATATTGGATTTTGTTTCCCATATATAATACCTAGTTTATGCTACTCATTTTGTATGGTCCTCACCTTGCAACGTTCCTAGACTTCTATGCAACTTGATGTCGGCTGCACGTAGACAGAACGTTCGTGTCATAGAGCGTTTTCTCAACTAATTGAAGTCGGCAGATGAAATGGGGTGTACATTAGTCATTTGTCCCCCCACCCCCCCAAGAATTGGCACATATGAACAACAAGTGAAGTCAGGGCTGGAGCATTTATACTCCATAAAAAGCCCTTGTACATACTCTATAGTGAAATGTTCCCCATCTTCAATGGACAAGAATGGATGCTTCAAGTCCATGCTCATGCAACTAACCTTGGGCATTCTCTTCAAGGGATTTTTATGGGATTGTACAATATAAGGCCATTCACTTATGATAAAAGAATGTCACAACTATTCTTGGTCATTGGATGAAAAAATCAATGGCTTGACGTGTATCACACAGTTCAAAACAAAATTTATTTTGCAGTTTGTGCCTATTTAATAGCATTACCCTCAGCCACCCAATTCCAAAAACAATATTGTGTTATCCTTTCAAAAGTAAATGGTCTTATTGCATAATTTTCCACTTCGTATTTGGAAAAGTATTATGTGGTACAAGCTGATTGTAGAGAAACCCCAATCACAAAGGGTCATCTTGATCAAATCAATGGTTAGATGGGATGGGAAGACAGTTAGGATATCACTTGACTTTAATTTCCATTTCAATGTCCACTCTCCATCACCCCTTAAGCGTTGATTGAATAGTGATGACTCTCAGGACTATGGATTTTTGTGTTATAAAGAATGTAGATTGCACTTTGCCCTTTTAATTTCTCTCCACTCTCCACTTGGTAGGGTGTGTTTTTTTTTTTTTGTGGAAATGTATTGAAATATAAATGAACTACTTAATATTTTAACCATATTTTTTGACTTAATTTGGTAGTACTCATCAAAAAAACACATGGTCATGAATCTCATAGTTAATGACACACTCACAACCGTCTGATTTAAAACTGATAGACAACTATCATTATGAACTCCTTTATTAAAAGCAAACAGTCTCTTTATATACTTTCCCATATAGGGTAAAATATTGAATATTAAAAATTTTATGGGTATTTTAACAAATTTCTTCTTATTTTTCTTGTAACAAGAGGGCCCTTTTGAAGAAAAGTAGTAGCCTCCAATTTTTTTTCATTTGGTGATATTATGTATTGAAGGTTGTGAATTGAAATGAAAAAAATGGGGAGGGTGCCATTGATTATTCTAAAGACGAGAAATAATAATATTAAGGAAGGCCCATCATTATGACAAGACAATAAATATGTAGCAGGCAACAGGGGAAGGACCAAGATGCTTGGGTGGATATGTGAGGCTCTCAATTATCTTTGAAGCCCACTGGCATCTTTGGTTTGCTTGGTCAACTATTTCATGTACGGACTGATAATTGAAGAGGCCCACAAAGTGCACAGTGTCTAAGATATATATACATATACAAGTCTATATTGTCATGCACAATGCAGAGTTGACATGAGGCTACATCCAGCTGGAATTAAACTATGGCAACTTGACATAAATGCACTAGTCAAATGAGAAAATAAAACCCATGTTTTTAGCTTTATAACCCACTTTTAAGTTCATAAACTCGATAAACAGGCTGAGGTGTGGTGGTAACACCCCCACACCCTATTTACCATGGTTTCTATTGCTTGTGAGGTATAGAAGGAGATCAAATTTGAATTCAAAACAATGGATATCTTGTAATCTAGTTATTCCCATTTGTTCCCCCAATAGCAATTAAATTAATTAAGCCGAATAAAAAATGGGATCCCTATCTTTTCCATTGATACCACCTCACTAACACCTTCAAAAACCTAAATCCTAAACTATTTGAACAACCGGGAAGGGACTATCTTCCCCACTGAATTACCCAAAATAAAACCAAAAAAAAAAAGAGGTTTATAAACTGAGTTGAAGCTAGTTAACCAAAATGAAGAGTGGCCGATTCACGGCCTTCTAGCTACCAACTCTCATTGCAGATGTTCCATTGAATATTTCAGCCAATGACGGCTTGAGTTTTGTTGTTTTGGTCACTATCTTAGTTGGGGTGAATCTCAGATTAGAAGTTAGAAATTTGAAAACTAGCCACTAATGCGATTTAAATGGAGTCCAAAGTTCTAAGTTCTGACTTTTTCTTGAGTAACTAGTTTATTTACGAAAAGCTCAACACAATCCAGTAGCGTCTGAAGTTGAAACCAGCACGAAAGTCTCCATGTTTGAAACTATGATAACAGCAGCTATATGGTTGCTTTCTAATTTCCCTATGATATCCATTACATTTCCTTTCTCATTGTTCGGTAGACATCAATTGCTTTTATCTAATTATCATACTGCTAATTCAATCAGAAAATTTTGAACTCTTTATCTTTTTTCTTCGGAATCAAGGATTTGATGAGGAACCAAATGGGTTGAGTTTAATAAGACTTGGGTCAAGTTGTATGTTTTCATTAATCCAAGCACAGCAGAGAGAGAGAGTATCTTAGAAATGCTTAAAACTTTCTATCTAGGCTTAAAAACAGCAACTACTTCAACCAACTTCCATTTAGACAACATTTCCTATTCCTTGCACTTTCCCAATACCCTATCTGCACTGTACATCACATAGTGGCAGCAGCCTTGTAGTAATAATCATTGATGGTGGAGTAGATTTCTCCTTCACCAACCAAGAAGTCAATGGCCTTCCTGTCCACCCCAAAATATAAACATGTTAGAGAGAGAGAGAGAGAGAGAGAGAGAGAGAGAGAGAGTATAGTGTGTCTACTAAACTAAACTACACTATAGTACTTTCTTCGTACTTAGTATTACTTACCGAGGACTACGTTCGTTTGTCGACTAACTTCACTACC